CTTTTAACAGCTGATGGACATTAAAACATGATTATTTATGAAAACTCAACCTTCGAGATATATTGGTCAAATGTCTGTCTATTGGATAGTCTATTTTAATTTTTTTTATTTTGTAATTAATTTTATTCAAGACTATCTATAACAAATCTCGAAAATTGTAACCTGTTTGTACCTAGACTGCTGTATATTCATATGTGACAATGGCATCATAGTGGACTGCCTTTTGTGTTGAGCCCAGCGTCCGTTTGTTCCATATTTGTCAACGAGGGCTCGGATAAAATAACAATGAGTGCTTACAGCCGTGTCACGAGTAGTACTTGTGTGGAGTTGTCCATCCGGAATGTGGTTCAAGAGTGTAGTTTTTATTATTAAACGATTGTCCACTTAACGTTTAGAAATGTAATATTTAATCGTGATGTACATGTCAGAATTTCAAACAACATTCGTGCAAAGGCAAGAGTTGTTAGTAAACTTGTCAACGTCTGTTTTACATGTCTCATGGGTCTGACACTGCAGCCTAGACTACCGAAGACTTAACGTAAAGCGGGTAGGTTAGGAATATTGCGTGCTTTTATGTTAGCGTGTTACTTTACATTATTTTTTATAGAAGTGGTGGCAAACAAGCATGTGGCTCACTTGATGGTACGTGTCGACCGCCGTCCATGAATATCTTGTGGTATTACTATTAATATCACCACCACCATTGGTAGTTTACGACAGTTTTGGGGACTAGTTATCGTGGTTGTTATAAGTCTGGAGTTTATCATCATCATATTTAATATCATTAAATCGTATTACGTAATTATAATATTATACAAATTGATAAAAATAAAAATATTCTCTCTGCCTATTTTCTGTTGGCTACGAGTATTACAGCTTTACTGGACTTAATCCATAAGAGATATATTTATGGAGCACGTTGATGTCTTTTATAATCATCCATTTTTCACATAATACAAGAACTCTACATTTCTGTCCGCTTTATAAAAATATATATAAATAATAAAAATGATATCTTCCAGACCAAATTTCGATCACACCACCTAGTCTCAATAGAGACAGCATCATCATCTGCGTAGGACAGGATTATATTCGAATGTATGCGCAAGCAGAAGTGCACTCTCTATTACCTTACTCTAATAGTCCGATGGGACGGTAATTCGTTACGACCAGACTTCGGGCTACTTAAGTGAATTTCTTGACAGAAAAACCGAATAACTAATTTTTAGCCCGACGCGGATTCGAACCCAAGACCTAGTTTAAAGATTTTTATTGTTTTGAAATTATCAACTATGCTAGCGATGTTACAAGAAACGCAATTTTTAGTATAACTTAGTGGCTCTATATTTCGACTCTATGGGGTATGAACTCGATAACAACCTAATGAGTGAAATGCTTTGCGGCAATATATATTTATTTATCAGTGGGTTAGTGACGAAAAAATGCTACCTTTAACTGGGCCCCGTGCCTCAAATTAATTGGCAAGTGAAAAAGAATTTTTAAACAATGAACGACGCGGACATTGCAACATCTTAGAGTATTCAGCAATTTTTATTACTTACTTTACAAAAGTAATTGTTAACCGACTTCTGATTAGTTTAATTATATTGTTTTGAAAGTACGTATTGTGAAAAAATTATTTTACTATGTTTTGAAACATGGTAAGATGTTTTCTTCATAATGCGATAAGCTTAATTAAATTTTTAATTAAATATTTACATTACTTTTGCACCACTTTTAATACTTACACACATACATACATTGTGTTCTATATAGCCCCACACTACGACGCTGACGACAGCGGCGCGTAGTTTGCTTCGTACGCGTACGCGACCGACTGTACGCAACCGATGTCAGCGTGCCGCGTTTATATAAATTATAGAAAACGTCAAAATGATGTACTTCTGTGTAAAACATTCAGTATTGTTTTTTTTAACACTTAGCAGAAGTCGTAAAAACGAGTTAATATAGAGATCACCAATTATTTTATTTTGATGTGTCTGTTTAGTCTGATGGTTTTGCGCCAATTTCATTTACAGGTAAACACGTGGACAAACTGCATTACGCAAGTAGCAATGCATGACGTTACGCTACGGTGTTTCATTTGGTATATGATGTAGCAAAGATGACTTTGATAATTATGATGTAATGTTGATGGTCATTCTGGTTAATTTCTATCTGAATTTGGAAGGTGTCAATAGAACTACCTAATTTTTATGGTATTTAATTTAGCATTGTATTTTTTTTTTGAAGAAAAGAAATTTATTGCACTATTGTACACTGTTGACTAACACGTTGAAAATGAAATATTACATGCAACTTGCTCGTGTCCCTAGTGGAAAATACTATGCTGGTGGGAATAACGCGCAGGTGCGTTATGTTTTTTTCTGCCGACTTCCAGAAAAAAGACGGTACTCAATTTGACTGTATTTTTTATGTGTGTTACCTCATAACTTTGTACTGGGTGAACCGATTTCGATGATTCTTTTTTTATATGCATGGTCCTGAGCTACCTGCATCCATCGACTTCCTGCATGTCTCACCAGGTCGTCACTCCATCTAGTGAGGGACCGCCCCACACTTTGCCTACTGGTACGAGTCTGCCACTGGGAAACCTTTCTTCCTCATTGGTAGTCGGTTCATGACTACTTGAACTTACTAATCTGTTGGGCTATGTTGGTTACTCTGGTTCTACTGCGGATATCCTCATTTCTAAGTTTATCACGCAGAGAAACCCAAAACATAGCCCTCTCCATAGCTCCCTGGGCAATCTTGAGCTTCCTCATACGGTCCGCAGTGGAGGACCACGTTTTAGATCCATAATTGGCAACACACTGGTTTTACAATCTTGTTTTTAAGTTTTGAGGTAGTGGTTTCTGCTTACTTTTATTTATTTTATTTTTCCATTATTGCTAATATGTTCAAGTAGGGGTTACAAAGAGTGATTTAATTTCTTATGGAATTCTCTTCTATTCAACGCTGTACTTTCCAAGATTATCTAGATAGGTTTCATCTCTGAGCTAATTATTTATTTTCTAATGCCAATAGAGACCCGCGGATACGGCTGAAATTGTTAATTGCAATTATACGCGCTGATTTAGCACATGCTAAACGGTAATGGTGCATGTTTGTGTAATAAAAGTTTCGTCAGTGACATGAATTCTGACAATAGGCGCGGCTGATACTTCCTTTCTCTATTTCCCTCTCAAAAATAAGTAGAGGCCTGTGTGTGCCAACCATTGGGACGAATGAAGGCTGTTGAAGTCCGTGCGTTTAATTTTGGCCGGGCTGAAGTCAGCTTTCCGAGACATTCGCGCATGTACAGATGCTAGTCGATAGAGGTGTGCTACTTCATATTCGCTCCTAAGATTGCTTAGGGAAACAGTTTGTTTAGTCTATATCGATTATAGAATAAATTGATAATTATTATTATAATGAAATCTTTATGTATTTCAATAAAATAATAGTATCTAATAAAGAATTACGATAAAAAGTTTGAATGTATTGTAAATATACGATATTAGCGGGGACAACAAATCTTTTCAGTAACCCCAAAATAATATTACATCAAAATTTTCAATAAAATATTTTAATACATATTATCATAATCACTGTATTTAAAATGGCATGTTGCATTGTTGCATGGACCATAAAAATATAAAATAAAATCGAATCATAATCGATAACAACGATAATCGAGTTTTTTAGTTAGTTTATTTAGTATTTTAGGTAATTGAAATTGCGCAATATACGTATTAGCATCTCTAGTTTTAGTTACCACCCACCCTCCACGCTTCTTGTCACCATTTTGTTCCTGAAAACTATATCTGCGCTACCACTCGCGTCTAATTTTAGCCCGGCCAAGATAGAGCGCGCAGAGTTTTCTATACTTTAATATCAAACATAAAATCAAATTAAACTTTACGTCTATAGGTTGTTATTACGCTTTCTTCCGTCAACTATCCAAGAAAATGTTATTATATTTATTAGTTGCCGTTCATCATAGCTAACCTCGTAAATTGTGTACCGCTAGGCAGTTACTGTATATCCAGTGTAATTGACTATTGTGTGTGGCCTACGATATTTTTAAAATAATCCGAACTCATTGTAGCTGTGTTATACATGTATTAATATTTATAATATTTTCTATTGTATAATTTTGAATTTCGATTAAGCTTTTATTTATTTTAACAGCCTATACTCCATCACGTTCTTCGTCATATCCCAATACACCAAATAGAATGAACACCCAGATCAATGATTTATAACTTTGTGAGTTTATTTTCCATTTACCACCATTTACAAATAATTGTGTCATCAGAATTGACACTAAGCTAAATTTCAAATTATTTCTTTAACTACCTATAAAATAACTAGCTGGCCAGGCAGACGTTGTTCTGCTCTCTCCGACGACCCTGTGTCCTATAAAAATTCTTAAATTCGTTATAAAAAATATTGAGGGTCACTTATAGAGATAAAAACTATCCTATCTCTTAAGTTGGATCAAACTGCATACAGTGTACAAAATTTTTCACTAAATAAAAAAGCATGTGACAGACGAAATTCGAAATGGACTACAACGAAATACTTCGTTAAGTGTTTCGTTGTGGCGTAACGGGTGTAGTGGGGGCATAAGACAGTTCATCACCCCATTTTGTCATCTGGTTGTCGTAAGAAAATAATTTGGGTAAGGCCAGAAATACCTCATGACCTTCGATATAGCCCAGTATACCAACCCGTATATGCCAAATATAAATAGACTGATCGGCAACGACAAAAGTCCGAGACGTCTGATATTGCAATCACCAATCAACCTATCTAGGTAATCTTTAATACGAAGACAGAAGCTATTGTTTAGCACTAGGTTTCTACGTGATGTTAAAGAATAAGAAATTTAAAATTACTCGTTTAACAATTTCATACTATAAACTTAAAGGTTTATATTCTTTAAATCGTACAACGAACGGACAATATTTTTACAGTCGTTATGTCACTTGCAGGGTCACTCTGAGTCGAAGGGTGCAAAGAAGCGGGAGAAGAGTGCAGGGGGAAATGGTAACAGCAAACCAAGCCGTGGCATCGCTACTTCGTTTGGCTTCCGCCGTCGACCCGCCAGCACTTCGCGGGCAGATGACAACGCGCGCAGGAAGCAAAAGTCACACGACAAGAACGGAAATGGAGGTGGGGATTACTTTATACACCCCTTTATTTTATGGCATGTTTTACATATATCATAATATGTCATATATATCCTATTGTTTGAAAGGGTTTGCATTTTACTTTCTAATTTTCAGTTAAGTAGATTTACAAACAAGCTCATACTATATTTTGTAAATGTAAAATACAGCCTGTAAACGCCAACATCAGCAGCTGCAGCGTCTTCCTGATAACACCTCAAAATAATTAAAAAAACTGCGGTAGCCAACTTTCCTGCCCAGCATAGCAACTAAAGCAAACATCGTAAAATGAAGCAACCTACGGGTAATGCTCATGTTTATTCTTTCACTTCAGCAACATTTACCTTACAAATCCACGAACAGTATGAATATAGATAGAGCAGTTCAGACTGTCTAAATGAGATTTTTGAGCCCGCACTGCGGCGTAGCCTTTTATGTTTATTGCAGTGCTTCAGTTTTGATGGTTTATCAGCAAGATCACTATAATAATGTATTCGATGCCGAGAAATTTAACATAGTAATAATATTATTCTTTTTGATTTTCTGAAGCATTAAAGTGTGTTACTAAAGGTTAATAATATATTTAAATTCTATGAGCTTGTCGCTTATCTTAATTATAATCCAATTAGATCATGACTGTCATTAAAATATTTCTATACTAGAAACTGTGATGCAAATATTTTTTGAATTTGAATTGATTTATTAGCATAATATTATAATAAGAAACTTTGTGATTGCACGAAAGACTACGTAATTTTTTTATCATAGACATTGAAACGACTTTATTATTAGGATATGATAGATGACTAGGATGTTTTTCTATTAGACATTCCGTTATGAGGGCTAATAACATACGTATTTTTATTATGATACTTATTACGTACATGAACCACAGATAGTAATACTTTGACATGAACGCATTCGAATCGTTTACAAACTTCAGCACGAATAACAGGTGTTTTGACATTTCTTTAATAAATCGAGAAACATGGGGGAAACCATAGACTTAGAATATATTGGCGTACGGGAAACCACGATCACATGTTCTTAAACTGTGCCACGATGATGTAATCCCTCTTTTCCATCTTCTCATCTACGTACTTGATCCTTAACGATTTCAGAATACTTTTTTATAGGATAGGATGACAAACAAGCACACAGCCCACCTGATGTAAAGTGGTTGTTGTGACCCATAGATATCTACATCTATCCTCAATAAAGAATCAAAATGCACCCATGTCACCCGTGAGGACTAAGACGGAATGCCTCTTTTCCAGTTCTCGGTTCTCAGTTCTCTACACTCACCATACGAAACACATCAGTGTTAAGCTGCTATTTTACGCTGGTATTCTGTGATAGCGTGGTCCTTCCCCAGTCGAGCCGACCCATTCGTGCTACAACTACACTACTAATATAGCTGTAGCATGGCTCTACTAAATTAATAGTAAAATTAGCGTTATTAAAGTAATAAAGTAAACGTATTTTTAAATTTCTTTTATTTTAACTTTAACCTTTTTGTAAGGGTTATATTTAATCCAAATATCTGAAAAAAATCAAGTTCTAGTCCCAGCGGTTTGAGCTGTGTGGTGATGTGTAAGATTACAAGTGTGTAATCCCAGTCGTCTGAGCTGAATTTTACACTTTTACCGACTTCAGGAAGAAGGAGATTCTCAATTCGAATGTAGGTATTTTTTGTACGTATGTTACATCTTCGCAGATTGTGTTGGAAAAAACCTACTTTACCCATGTTGCAAACTGCCAACGCACTTTGCCAATTTAAAATAATAATAAGTAAAATTTAATTGAGTAAAATTCCGATGAACTTTGCAACACGTATGTTATAATAGTTATTATATTTAAGTAAAAATATATATGTGTAAGCAGACGCTCAAAAATAGAACTATTATTATTAGCTGTACTGGCGCTTGCTAAAAGCTCATTTAGATGTAAGCTCCAATTTATTACTTAACCTCTTTATGAAGAAAAAAAGGTTAATTACAGATTACCGCAGTCTGGTTCATTGTTTGTAATATTAATTTATTTAATCATCTTCCTCTCTTTTCGGTAGTTCCTTGACTTCTTGATATGATGGTCATGTTTTATATTATATACGTATAATTACTATGTTGTCTTATTATTTTAGCCATCATCATTATCATTACAGCCCTTCACAATTCCACTGCTGAACATAGGCCTCCCCCAAAGAATGCCACAAAGCACGGTCCTGAGCCACCTGCATCCATCGACTTCCTGCATATCTTACCAGGTCGTCACTCCATTTAGTGGGGGACGCCCAACATTTAGTCCGCTGGTACGAGGTCGCCACTCGAGAACCTTTTTTCCCCATCGGTTGTCGGTTCTTCGAGCTATATGGTCGGCCCATTGCCACTTCAGCTTACTAATCCGTTGGGCTATGTCGGTCACTCTGGTTCTACTGCGGATATCCTCATTTCTAAGTTTATCACGCAGAGAAACTCCGAGCATAGCCCTCTCCATAGCTCGCTGAGCGACCGTTAGCTTCCTCATTCGCCAGCAGTGAAGGACCACGTCTCAGTAGCATAGGTCATCACTGGCAACACGCACTGGTTGTATACTTGACGAGAAGATGTGCCGTAATTTCCCGAACGCTGCCCAACCGAGTTGAATCCGTCGATTGACCTCTCGGTCGAAGTTGGACGTACCTAGTCGGACTATTTGTCCCACAACCCCGGTCCCCGGTGTACAACTACCGGCATAAGTGTGACATGGACATCAAACATGATCTTTGTTTTGTCCATGTTCATCTTAAGACCTATCCGTTGAGAAACACTATTGAGGTCATTGAGCATACTGCTTAGGTCCTCCAGCGATTATGCCATAAGAACTATATCGTCGGCGAATCGAAGGTGAGTGATGTACTCGCCATTGATGTTAATACCGTATCCTTTCCAGTTCAAAAGCTTGAAAACGTCTTCCAATGCAGCGGTGAAGAGTTTCGGGGATATAACGTCACCCTGTCTTACACCTCTCTGCAATTGGATAGGTTTTATACTCTGGTTCTGTACTCGAATAGCCATCGTAGCCCTACTGTACAAGCACTTCAGCACTTCCATATACCGACAGTCAACTTGGCATCGCTGAAGGGACTGCAGCATCGCCCAAATTTTGACGGAATCGAAGGCTTTCTCATAGTCCACATACGCCAGACATTGTGGCAAATTGTACTCCTCGGACTTCTGTACAATTTGCCGAAAGGTATGTATGTGCTAAAGCCTTTTCGGAAACCGGCTTGTTTGGGAGGCTGGAAGTCGTCAAGTCTGCGCGCGAGACGATTCGTAATGACTCTCGAAAACAGCACGTAGACGCGGCTCAGAAGGGAAATCGGTCTGTAGTTCTTCAAGAGAGCGTTGTCACCTTTTTTGAAGAACAAGACCACCGCACTTCTGCTCCACTCCGCTCTGCTCTGCTCCGGTGTAGTGCCAGTCTTCAAGTACCGGTTTTCCACCAGCTTTCAGAAGCTCCGCTGTAATTCCATCCTCGCCTGGGGCCTTGCCGTTTTTAAGGTGCTGGAGTGTCATTCTAATCTCGCTCAGACTGACGTCCGGGATATCATCGGAATAGTGTCGGATAAGACTCGCTCTTGGATCGTTACTCACACTTACGTGTGGCTCCAACGATGATGTGCACAGCTGCCCATAGAACCTCGCAATCTCACTCAAAATCTCAGGTGTCCCGGAAACGACGCTGCCACACTCGGTCTTCAGCTTCGACAGTTGGCTCTTTCTGGCAGACAGATCTCTAGCAAAGACTTTGGAGCCCTGGTTCCGCTCGATCGCTTCTTTTATACGAGCAGTATTAAAGATGCGTAAGTCCCGCCGCGTGCATTTGGAGATCTGTCTGTTCAGTTGCCTGTATGCTGTCAAATCTACTGAAAACTGCAGCTTCATATCCCGTCTAACAGCCATGAGATTAATAGTGTGGTCGGAGAGTTTTTGTATTATTCTGCAACGGGTCTTGCAAAACTTACTTCCGACCGCATGGACAGTTTTCACGAGCTTGTCATTCATATCATCCACTGCATTGCAATCTTCTAGGCACTGAAAACGGTTTCGTAGTTCGAGCTGAAAGGTTTCGGGACTTTGGATTAGAGCACGAGGGGGACGGAGCGTTGACTTCATTAGACGTGACCTCTCCAACTTAACGTTTAGGTTCAGTGTGCCTCTTACCATTCAGTGATCGCTGCCGGTTTTCACCCTCGCGATCACTGAGACATCACTGAACAGTTGTCGTCTGGTCGTCATAATTAAGTCAATCTCATTTTTTGTCAGCCGGAGATTCTTAGCAACCCCTGCCCCGCCGTTACCATGGTCGCCACCGTAGCCAGGAATAGCGAGGCCGCCGGGGACTGGGGGCCGTTTCTTCGTTACTTTCATGGGGGGTATATTCCCATAGTTGCCACGCTTGGCGAGCGGGTTGGCAACGGCAGTTTTTTTATTGTTGTTTTGCTGTTTTCAAAAAGATGCTGCTGCCCATCTTTTGCCTCAGTTTCCCTCTGTCGCCTCTTACGACACCCACATGAAGATATGGGGTAGTGTGTATTCTTACCCGTCACTACACTGGGTAGTCATAGTTGTAATAAATAAGTTATTTGCATTTTTAAATCGTGGCAACGAAATCGTAATATTATATTGTATAGGTCGTTGAAACGGCTTCTATTATGTAAATTTTATATTTATTCAAATACATAACACGGCGGTTAAAGATAGATCGACAGGGTAATCGATTGTATAGGATGTAAGTATACTGAGAAAAGAAAAGAAAGAAGACTTCTTGCGTTATGACTTTTTGCGGCTTCCGGCAAATAATAAAACAGAAATACCCACTAATCTTTCCTTATTATATTAACACTGGACTTAGCCTATACTCGTATACAATATTCAGTTTATTGATTCGCAATTTATAGTACAGGAAAATCGGTGATAGGACTGCTTATCTGTCGAGGAGTCTGTCGGTAGGTGCGAGTATCACCCTCTTACCTATTTCTGTTGCCAAATAGCAGTAAGAGAGCCAGTATAATAACAGCCATTTCAAACATTAATAAAGATCAAAAAGTCGTTGATGCCGCAAAGGGGCAAATCTCACTTTTTGAAAAATTACAGGACAGCAAGAAAACATTTATTATTCCCCGATTACTAGCTTTTTTTCATCGGAAAATTAATCTTATTTGTAGTATTCCATTAAGTCTAATATATCTTATTTTCTGATGGAAAAAAGCTAGTAATCGGGGAATAGTAAATGTTTTTTTGCTCTCCAGTAATTTTTCAAAAATTGACATTCGCCCCTTTTTAAATACGGTACGTGAGGGTAATATGGTCTATATGGTTTGCCGCCCAACAAAACCAAAACTAGGAAGAGGACAGAGACAAAAACGCAAAGTCGTATACTATAACTAATATATTAAGAAAAAATAGCAAACAAGCCTGTGCAATAATTAGGAACACTTCGAAAAATGAACTTAATAAAACTAACTACACTACACAATACTAAAATCGACTGAAATATTTACTATAATATCAACTGTCAAAATGGTATCGATAAAGCGGCGCCCTTTTGATCCTTTATTATTTGAATGACTGATGAAGAGCTATCGTATCACAGAGCCAACTATGCAAACAAGGCTGTAGTTTTTGAGTTATAAGAAAGTGACCATATTACCCTCACGTACTAGATATCTTAGAAACGTTAAACGTGATTTAATTATAACTTGTGTAATATTATTAACCAGGTTCGACAGAGGATCTTCGCCCCGAAGAAGTATTATCGGGAAGATCCACGCCTCTTGCCCGACCTCGCAAGGAGACTGCCGGGCAACCACTGCGTACAAATAGGTATGTTAAATTAAAATCAAGCCAAGTACTGTTTACCCGCATAAGTTAATGCTACATAATTAGGCGAGGCTTAAACATATCAAATAATGTGTTTTTTAATGATTATTTATCTCTATTATTTGATATTCTTAAATTATCGTTTTTATCATCATCATAATCCTATCTACATCTACTTCAAGTCATCAAGACCACTTCGGAATATAGGGCGCTTACATAACATGGTGGTGCGACGACGCATCGCAAAAATCTGTGCCGACCGTAGTCATAAACGACGCACAACGCATGCATTGTCGCAACGTTCAAATCTGCGATGCGACGATGCTACATTTCAGTCGGTGTCCACTTCGTACAGTCACTTTACGTTGAAATTTCCCTGATTGAACTATAACAATAAACAGAGTAAAGAATACATAATTAAAACAGAAGATTGGAATATCTGCCAAACTTTATTTTAAGTTCAATAATGAACACTAAAAATTATAATTGTGATGATATAAGATTTAATAGTTCTTCAAAACTTGATATGCTCAATCTAAAGGAGTCAATAAAAATCACCACATCTGTTTTTAGCGCCTCATACTCGTAGTTTCCCTTGAAGTGACCTCCGGGTCGAGTAGAAAATCCAGAAAATACAATTTTCAAATGATATACCGTTATTGTAGTTTTTGAAAATACCGAGTAAATAAGGTTTCTACTTTTATTTAAAATTATCCCAAATTGAATGTAATTTATGGGAAACAACTACGCGTACGCGCGCTCCTCTGTGTGCGATTAACGATTAACGTTTTTGCTGACTGAGCGACCCTTACGAATATGTGCGTGCGTATTAAAATAGTAGGCGTTAAATATGTATGAATGAAAATTAGTTAAAATAATGCATTACCACGCATTCTGAATTTAAAAGATAAAATGAAAAGAGTGTTTGAAATATTTTTTACATTCGCCTATATTACTCATTCTGAACTTTATCTGCAAATTAGTGCGTATGTTGCAAAATAACCCTGTATAAATAACAATTTTACTTATCCCAATTCATTTTGTTATCTGAGTCACAAAATGTACCTAATTTAATTAAAGTGTACTTGAAAGCTAAAGAAACTAAAATATGCACTACATCTATTTTTTGATTTAAGATTCAACAATATTTTTAAACATTCAAAGAAAATGTGAACACACTTAATATTAATCGAAAAACCACTAAACTGTATTACATTGCCATGTTAGCCGCAAAAGTAATTGATCCGCCAAATATATCCTACTAAAATGCATCTATTAATAACAACCAATTTACAAAGGTGACCGAATAATATTGAAAAATAAATACTTACATATTTTGGCCATTGATATAATAAACAATGCTAGATTTTGACCTCAACGACACATTTAAGTTGCATTTTATTTGTATATGGCACTTTCATCATCATCATCATCATTACAGCCCTTCACAAGTCCACTGCTGAACATAGGCCTCCCCCAAAGAATGCCACAAAGCACGGTCCTGAGCCACCTGCATCCATCGACTTCCTGCATGTCTTACCAGGTCGTCACTCCATCTCGTGGGGGGACGCCCTACACTTCGCCTACCGGTACGAGGCTGCCACTCGAGAACCTTTCTTCCCCATCGGTTGTCGGTTCTTCGAGCTATATGGCCGGCCCACTGCCACTTCAGTTTACTAATCCGTTGGGCTATGTCGGTTACTCTGGTTCTACTGCGGATATCTTCATTCCTAAGTTTATCACGCAGAGAAACTCCGAGCATAGCCCTCTCCATAGCTCGCTGAGCGACCTTGAGCTTCCTCATACGGCCAGCAGTGAAGGACCACGTCTCAGTTCCATAAGTCATCACTGGCAACACGCACTGGTTGTACAATTTCGTTTTCAGGTTTTGAGGTATGTCTGACGAGAAGATGTGTCGTAGCTTCCCGAACGCTGCCCAGCCGAGTTGAATCCGTCGATTGACCTCTCGGTCGAAGTTGGACTTACCTAGTCGGACTATTTGTCCCAGGTAAACATACTCGTCAACAACTTCGAGCTTAGTGCTCCCAACAACTACCGGCATAGGTGTGACATGGACATTGAACATGATCTTTGTTTTGTCCATGTTCATCTTAAGACCTATCCGTTGGGAAACACTATCGAGGTCATTGAGCATAGTGCTTAGGTCCTCCAGCGATTCTGCCATAAGGACTATATCGTCGGCAAATCGAAGGTGAGTGATGTACTCGCCATTGATGTTGATACCGTATCCTTTCCAGTCCAGAAGCTTGAAAACGTCTTCCAATGCAGCGGTGAAGAGTTTCGGGGATATGACGTCACCCTGTCTTACACCTCTCTGCAATTGGATAGGTTTCGTACTCTGGTTCTGTACTCGGATAGCCATCGTAGCCCTACTGTACAAGCACTTCAACACTTCGATATACCGACAGTCAACTTGGCACCGCTGAAGGGACTGCAGCACCGCCCAAATTTCGACGGAATCAAAGGCTTTCTCATAGTCCACATACGCCAGACATAGTGGCAAATTGTACTCTTCGGACTTCTGTACAATTTGCCGAAGGGTATGTATGTGGTCTATGGTGCTAAAGCCCTTTCGGAAACCGGCTTGTTCGGGAGGCTGGAAGTCGTCAAGTCTGCGCGCGAGACGATTCGTAATGACTCTCGAAAACTTTATGTTTATATTATTAATATTAATACATTAGTAAATAGATGCAGGAAGTCGATGGGTGCACGTGACTCAGGACCGTGCGACAGTCATAGTGGCGTATCTTGAACTTTAATGATAATAACGATGATGATGAGGAAGTAATTTGTATTTTTTGATTGTCTATTACTTTGTGTCTGATATAATCTATTGTAAGAAATTATTCCACTTCTGATGTTAGAAATTATCTTCAAAAATATTTAAATAAAAGAACACTACTCCGTAACAAACCCTGCTTACTATCAGGACCCCAACTACATGATAACACCAAAGTATGCAAACCAACAGCATCACCACCCATCTCAATGTAACATAGGGCCGCCTCTCAGCAACACGACCTTCCTTGCCTACACTAGTAGAATACCCCAACGAGCAAAGTAACAGTAGTAATAACAAAGACAATGGGACTAAGAATTACAGAATGATGCCTCTTAGTCGCCTGTGCAATACTTTATACTGCTAAAACAAGTGGAAGATTACCATTCTACCTTCATTTGTTCGTATTTCCTTTTATTTTTTTACACTCATTTCCAACACTATACATAATGTAAATGAAATGAATTACCTATCTGTAATATCAAAATAACCGCCTAATTGAGCTGATGGAGATATTTGCATGCCATTAAGACATGAACCATTTACAAAGATTTTTGTTTGTCGGTCTGTCTGTCCGGGCACGGGCCACCTTTCATTTCTGAAATGGTCACACAATTGACACAATTACTTCCCTATTATTCTGAGTCACCTCTAATATTTTTCTGAATGATCGCACCTCTACGGCATTAACCCATTCATTGTCTTATGAGCCACATATGGTACATTGCTATTGTCTTACTATTGTGTCTGGAAACCGAACAATGAAAGTGTTAATGCCACTCTGATGCATTCTCCGCCACACACAAAATTCATCGTATATTAAAGTAACTAACATTTTTTTGATTGTAGTAATTATTACATTGTTTCGATTAGGGAGTGGTTATCAATGGTAATTGTTTGATTTGCTAGGTTCGGTTTCAGGCAGCCGCACAGTAAAACAGCTAAAGTGGCCGACGTGAAGGTAGCTGCCGAGTCGGCATTCAGCGCAACGTATAAGGATAAGGAAACCGCCATCAACAATAATGCTTTAGGTAAATATATAATATATAATTTTATATGTTTCTAATATTTTCTATTGTTTAATATGTCTATTGCTTTGTAATGACGGTGTAAGAGAATACACCAATGTATAACATTTTTTTTATAGGATAGGGTGACAAGCGAGCACACATTCCACCTGATGGTATGTGGTTGCTGTGGCCCATAGACATCTACATCTATTCTCGTTTGCGAATCAAAATGCAGATGCGTTGTCACCCGTGTGGACTAAGATGGAATGCCTAGTTTCCAGTAAAAAGGGTCTCCGGTTCTCTACACTCACTATACGAAACACAGCAGTCTTAAGCTGCTATTTTACGCTGGTGTTCTGTGAGAGCGTGGTCCTTCCCCAATCGAGCCGGCCCATTCGTGCTACAACTATACTACTAATATAGCTGCAGAATGCTCTACAGCTCTACCACGTGTAAATCCCGTGTTTGTCTTAAAAAGCGACAGAGGGAAACTGCAACAGGATAATGGGCATTTGCCAACCTGCCTGTCAAGCGTGAAAACTATGCCAAATGTCCCCGAATCCTTCGTATGCGGCAATCTATGGGTGACACCTAGGCTGCAATAAATGTATGAATGAAATATGTCTTTATCTTAGTGTAATTATGTATGTAAATGCTTCCATAAGTGGTTACTGCAAGCCATGGACACCTGCCAACAACTTTAAACAAAGAATATTACAAACGTATTATCATTTCTGATGCCTAAGATGAAATGCCATACAACAAAGGATTCACTGCAGTTTGACAGCAGAAAGAGACAAGAGAGAGCTACCCAGACGGTCTCCTGAGCAGAAAAACGAGCTTACCACCTAGAAAATAAGGGTACACACAGAAATGCGTCGCAAATAAATCATAGGAATTAGAAATGTAAAATATTAACATTTTTGAACGCTCCATACTACGACGCTATTACAATACATTTTTTTAAACCACGACATAATAAATAGCTTTAACAGCATCCAAAAAATGATTCTTAGTTAAGTATAAATGGATGACTTACCGTGTAGTGGCGGTCTACGAATATACACTAGCCCATATCGTCCCATGGTTGTCGCAGTAGGCGACAGAGGGAAACTTAAACAGGACATGAGCAGTAAAATCTTTCCTGATAACAACGCAAAATCATTAAAACTGCGGTTGCCAACCTGCCTGCCAAGCCCAAGCGTGGTAACTATGGCAAAATCCCTATAAGGCAATCTGAGGCCTATATGTTTAGCAGTGGACTTTTATAGTCTGTAATGGAATGGATAATGAAGGTAGCTTACATTTAATTACTTTAAAAAAATAACTCCGCAAAAATTTTTAAAGTAAAAATATGTCCTATTATTTTAATGTTGTGTAATCTATGTAGTTTAATAAATTCAGTATAACATCTACGAGCGTACATCAAAAATAATGTTTATTTACAAAAAATATAAAAAAAAAACCCAAAACAAAACATGAATAAAAACAACAAACAGGAAGAAGTGCCGATGTTTATTTTTAAGCGGATTATTTCATTTTAAAAAGCTGAATCTTTTCAATTTCTGGTCCTGTTATCAATGGGTTATGTCTTTCGATGGGTTTTTGGATAGTGTGTAAGTTCTTAGTAAGTAATAGCCAACTAACACTAATTGGTTTTTACAGATAAAAAGAGTACAAATTCTACGTATAGTAATCAGCTGCCTCTAGTGGCGACTCAAGTATCTTCCACGGGTGTAACGACGGTAATCGGTGCCGGTGGCTTACCAAAACCCGTCACAAAGCAAACCGTCATTCTTACATACCAGACTCAACAGTACCCTGCCCAGGTAAGGATTGTAGTTTAACTCCAGCATAGATAATTTCTTAAAAATATTATTAATATTCTAAACAAAATAGAGTTTTACAAAATTTTTCCACAAGGGGGCTAATGATTTTCGAGTGTATGTAGGTATGTTTATTTCTTCGGCACGTTCTGTAGTCTAAACGGCTTGATGAATTTCAACATAAGAGGGTGTCGTTACATTCGTTTTGATTGTGAAAGTGATATAGGTTTTCAAATTTTCTCTTCTAAGTAAACTTGGTTACACAGTCGGGTCTTTAATTATTGGTTAAATCATTGAGCTTATTTATTCATTAATATTAAATTGCAAATAATACGTACATAGAATACTTAAATATACTCATATTGCAAAAACAATATGCGTAATCTATACAAATAAATAAAATTGAAGTGTCTGTTTGTAATGTTAAAATAACAGATTTTTACCAAATCCACACACACAAACACAATTTTTAAAATTTTTGTCTGTCTGTATGTCTGTTTGTTCCGGATAATCTCCGAAACAGCTGGACCGATTTCGACGGGACTTTCATTGTCAGATAGCTGATGTTATAAGAAGTAACTTAGGCTACTTATAATTTAGAAAAGGAATTAAGGTTCCGCGCAACATAATTAAAACCCAAAATTACACGCGGGCTAAGTCGCTGAGAACAGCTAGTTTATCATATAATCAATCACGGCAGCCTACAATGTTTCTCCAGTGCCATATTATCTGTAAGTAAACTCTTTCCTTCCTTAGTTGCACGTGTTGCAATCTTCCCTAAGACGATTGTACAGGCGTTGCTTATTATCTCTAATCTTAATAAAGACCTTGCAAAATTTATATGGTTATTTCGTTATTTTGTCGGAGCCTTGGGATAAAGGCGTTAGAGAACATTTCCATCTAGTGTTTTATTCTTACTAAATATTTGCAAGATATAACCATATCTCGTCATCTCTTAACAATAACTATTTTTATTTTCTAATTCTTATAATTTAATATTTTGAGTGATTTTAATTACACTTGAAATGACTAATAAATTCTGCCTTAGTAAACCTTTATCATCATCATCATTACAGCCATTCACAAGTCCATTACTGAACATAGGCCTTCCTCAAGGAATACACAAAGCACGACATCCACCTCCATCCAATGACTTCCTGCATCTCTTAACAGGTCGTCACGCTACCCAGTAGGGGGCCGCCCTACGTATCGCTTACTTTTATTAGTACACCTTAATGAACGATAATATAATTGATCGATTTCCAAATATTTATCATAAATTCGACCCCTTATTTGTCAGTACTATGGACTTATGTACCTTATTTGTAATACTATCAGTGAATACTTCAAGCAATGAGGGCATCTACGACTTTTTCTGCCACCAGGGCGGCGCCACTAGGAATTGAGTTATAATATTTGACAGATTTCATAGCGGGAAAATTAATTTGTTCGGAAAATGTAAAGGTTATAGTTTCCTTCTTGACTTGGTCTTGGTTTGGTTTATTTATTTTATAATTTTATATAAAGAAAATTATAAAATAAATAAACCAAACCACAGATATTCATAAAAGTAGATATATAAAAAGAATGTCAAAAATGTGCAAAAAATTAAAGAGCAAACCACCGACGCATTGTTTTGTGTATTAATATAATCCTTTAGAAACTGATAAACTTTTATTAAAAACCAACTTCTGAATTAAATTACATTGTGTAACAAAAAACTTTACCTCAGTGTTAACTAGCGACATCTGGTGAGCAGAAAATTATTAGCCCTCATTGAAAATCAATTATTATTCGGCTTCGTATTGCTTACGCAATCAACCTTTTTGGAAGTTGATAATTATCCGCAATGGTCCATAGTTGGCCAGTTTATATATACTATTGTCATTACACCTGAATTTGCATTCGAGCACTTGTCAGGTTTGATACTAAAACCGTAAAGGTCGAGGCTAACCTCATTTGTCATCTTCCTTACTTGTATCGGAAAGACGTCTTCCTCCTGACTTTTTACGATAATGTAGTAAACTAATATCTTAAAACTCGGTCTAAGCACAATTATTATTAAGATAAATGTTAAATATAATTTCTAAAAAGAAGAAAGATTTTTTGAAGTAATGAAGAGTCTACCGACTTCACATATTATCTAAATATTATTTATGTTTTAGACATTCCGGTTTTCATATGAATTTTCCTTTACCGCAGAGCATGTATTAAATCGACAGTTGAATTGCAATTAACAATTCCATGTACTTGTGGGGTCGTACTAGTGTGCAAAGTTGTGCTTAAATTTTAAAGTACTTAGCTCGTAATGACTCTTATATTTACGCGAACACTAGTGTAACCTAATTTTACGAATTTTATTGCGTTTAATTTTGACTTTTTAAGTCCCCTCCCCCCACCACCCCTGTGACCATAAACGCGATAAAATCCGTAAAATTAGTTTCATTTAATACTTAGCTCGTACGTATATAGATATAGTACGTATAAGTAGTGATAGATAGATAGATAGTAGTCGCTGGTGTCGACTCCGCCAAAATCGATAGTATGCAGTTTAATCATTTCAGTTCAAAGGTGAAAAATCACATATATATGTATGTAATTACTCTAAGTGAAAAACATTGTGAGATAATCATCAAACAATATTATAAGAGCACAGTACTCACAGATATTATGATGTATGTCAATCCGCAAGTTGATAGTGTAGAGTTATTTTCTCGTTCCTCTCTCTTGTATGTGACTTTCCTATTCGTTATTAGGTTTTTTGTCTCTAGATTTAGCTACTCAGCCGGAGCCCTAACTCAGCAACTATATAATATATATATATATACTGTACTTGATCTATTTTTATCAGTTTTTATTACTTATTAGATTAAGAAATTAAGTATGCCCATCCAGATAGTATCTATATATCTTCATATAGTATATATAGTATCTATTCAGATATATAGTATCTTTTTTCATGGGCATTTGCGTTGACGACTATTTTAAGTACAAAGGCCGAAATGGAAAGTTTCTATAAACTACTAAGTTATGTTCGCGTCTCTGTAACTTTCATTTTCTCGTACTCTGTTTTTTTATACAGAAAAAGGGTGAGAAATGAGCACACAGTCCACCTGATGGTAAGGGGTTATTGTGGGCCATAGACATCTACATTTATTCTGGATTAAGAATCAAAATGCAGATGCGTTGTCATCCCTGAGGACTAAGATGGAATGCTAGTCCAAACATCTTCAACACAGCACTGAATCCCAGGGTGGGCCCCGGTAGTTCAGGGGATAAATGCTCCTTTTAAAATTTCATTGCACGTATGTGAGAAAACCGAGTTATATGCCCTCCGCCACCAATATAATTATTAATCGCATTTGTAAGTGCCTTTTTACCAACTGCTCGACAGTGAAAGAAAATTTTTATTTTCATATCTTTTCCATTTATGATTGTGTTTTCTTTTACATCAATTGTTGCCTGTATCCACTATAATTTGGAAGGAATGGACAAATTAGTGCCTTTTTCTTTCTTCTTCTTTCTAAAAAAATCTTTAAAACACTTGTTGAATGCTTCCTACTTTAAAACCCTTTTAGAAATGAGAAGGTAGGCGGAACCTATTGCAGACATATATATTTCATGTAGGCTGTTACCTTAATTTTACTTCAAAAATAAATTTTATACACTACGCAAAGGATGGCCGTCCGAAACCTGCCCCGAGAGGTGAACAAAGCCATGTCCGCGGAACGTCCGCCACACGCTTACCTTCAACCGTTGATATGCAGAAGCCTCCTGGGAAGTACACCTTCCAGACCAACCAGCTGCCAAGACCTCAATACCCAGCGGTGAAGAACGTCGATCCAAAAGCCGCTAAACAAGTAAGATTTTTAAAGGGTACAAAATTATACACTTTGCAAGTTGTGCAGTTGTTTTCTTTATATATATATATAAGATTTCACATAACTATTAATATAATAATATATTATTAACGTTGAATAACCATCACTTATATCTAATGAGTCATTCACACGATATGCAAATGTTTATTTGAATGCTTTCCATTACTAATCTATGAAGTTTGTGCTCGGCACTCACCGGTGATTTTTCCGGCCATAAATCAATCGCCAGAGCATCATTTGCTTGCCAGTGAGACAAATAGTATAATAATATCAACCAAACCGTATGTCGAGTATGTGCGTGAGCAAAAGTGCAGTCTCTATTCCTTTACTCCCATAGACCAATATGACGGCAATCCGAGACGACCGTATAGAGTTAAGGCGCAGGTACAACACCACTAACTTCTTGACTCCGGACTGGTACTGATAATTTCTTGACAAGACAACGCAATAACAGATTTTAGTCTTATATTTCGTGCTTTTTCCACTCAGGGTTCGAACCCGGGATCTCATGATCAGCAGTTGCGTTTACGACCACAATACCAACGAGATAAAGAGTGTATAACATAGTAACTATACCAAAAGGGAGTGAGGTTGATTTGGAGAAAAGTTAACACATTTCCTTTTACATCATAATATAGGCCATCAAGATAAATATTTATGTAATATAGGTACTCGTATTATAAAAAAAAACTAAAGTTCTTGTTAGATGTAATGTCATTTACAGTATTTCTTATTGTATAGTTGTGATTTTTTTACTCAAATATTGTTTATACAAATATAAACAAAGTAAGGCATGAAAACGAAAAGAAAAACTTATTTTCATTCAATACTTTGCTAAAAGCTTCGATAAAAGTCACTACTACGACATTAACAGTTTGTTGAGAACGAAAACCGGACTTATTGTTATGTTATAAGACTACTTTTAACATGTGTTTGCAAGTAGGTCATCGATTATCTATTTCAGCGCTGCCGATTTAGAAACAGGGAGCAGTGCGCTGAAAATATCACTACTGCCACTACTGCATACTGCAACTAACGGGTTAAAGTGAAATGAGATTATCTAGTAAAGATATTTTGTCGAAAGGCTAAAGATTAATTTTTAGAATAGAAAAAATAAATCTAATATAAAATATTAGATTTTCCACATTATTATCGCGAAAAATGAATGGGCTTCTGTTTTGATTATGAAAACAATGTTATATATAATGAATGACATTATATAATATGGCAATGTGCACTATGTTAGAATTTAAGTTTTCAAATAATATTAGAAATACACGCGCATTGCCTACATCAAAAAATAATAATTTCTTTCAATAATGTAATTATATTATTGTAAGTGAAATATAATAATAACTATAATTAAACTCTTTAAAATCAAGTAAATAATGAATCAATAAGCATAGTTCATCACTATTTAATAATTATTACCACTTTACGCTTCTTGATTATTGCATCCGTTAAGAATGCTTAAATGATGACAGAAATATGATTGATATTTTCTGGCTGTAAACAATGCTAAAATAATAAAGAAAAAACTTATGAACACAAATATGCGGTAAGAAAGAGACTGTGCAGCCGTGTAAATCCATGCATAACATTTTGCAATGACCTAATAAAAATAACTAACTCACAACAAGTAGACACGTACTTGTTTTACTTATTCGTCCGCTGTGGAGCGCACAACACTCGTTTTAGAAATAATTTAGTGAAATTAAACTGTCGTAAGTATATTTGGATAAAGATATTTTTTCTAGAAGTATGTAATATCTCGAGATTTATCTCACGTAGTAACGGTAATTTGAAATGCGTCTTCTCTATTTTTAACCCGTCACTAATGTTTTGAAGTATGGGACATTTGACTACTGGTTGCCGAAGCTTAGACAGAAATTCCATTGACTGTTCCATGTAGTGTCATAACATGGTCAATATACTTTTTATTTATTGTACATCATTATATTTTAAGTGAAGGTCGTGCGTAATTTTTAACATTGCATTTAACTCTTTGCAGGTGGTAAATAATACAAGAAAGGCGGGTGGGGTAGATGGATGGAGAGAAGGTAATTTTTTTCATTATATATATTTTATTAATTCGAAATTCCTTAATTATTTAATTTGTATCATGTAATAAATATTGGTTATAAATTCGAAATGCAAACAGCCTGCTCAGATTATTAGAATAAACAGCGCGTGTTGTGTAAATGTTTTACCTGAATTATAAAAATATGTTTGTCACTGCATACTAAAGTCAATATTATGCTTTATTAAACTGTGCTTATACTAAGCAATAGCATCGAGAATGCGTAAGACCACGTACGATATATTTTAGTCACTCCTGCCACACTTGCCATGTGTAGTACTTATAGCAAATTTTCACTAATTACAGAATTTCTACTTATTTAATATGTACATGACTTTACCTCTACGAGTCAGAGTACACCAGACTAATACTTAATAGGTTCTCGGTCCGAATCCCAGACGGTTCCAAAACTTGTGGAAACACCTATTCCTTTTATATAGGGAATGCAATAAAGTTTAAAAATTAATAAATTAACAATTGTTTTCTGACTTTTTCCCTGTTTGCTCGTTTGTCACCCTTAGTTCTAAAAAAATACTATCTAGTAAAATCGTTATAATATTGAAGATATATGATTATTCATACCATCTTTTATGAACCACCAGGTGCCGGTTCAACTGTATCAAGCGACTCGGGCGTGTGGACGAGCGGCGAGGGCGGCACCGGTGAGGGCTCGCCGCTGGCCCGCCGCCGGCCGCGCAACTTAGAGATGGTGATGCGGGGCACTCACAACTTCCATCTCAGGGAACTGCAGGTTGCTGACCTAGATATCATGGGTGAGTCAGTCTTGCATCGAGTTGGATTTGTTAAAGATAAAAGTCGACTTCTAAAATTATAATCATATTAAAAAAATACTGATCTCTCGTGTTCATATTAATAAGCACAGTTCACCTGATGGTAAGCGGATGCTGTGGCCTAACAGATACCTTTATCTATCTCGATAAAGAATCAAAATGCAGATGTGTTAGAAGAGTGCCTCGACCAGTAAAAAGAGTCTCCAATTCTCTAAACTCACCTATAGAAACAAATAGTTTGGAAAATGGAAAATTGCACACTTCATGGGCATTTCATTTAATTTTGATGAAAAAAATAAATTGTATTCCTGACTTTTAAAATATAATATTTACGTGTTTTAAATTTAGCGCTCTATTATTTTAACAAGCAGTTTCACCTACAGGGAAAAAATTGATAATGTTTACTTAAATAAATCGATTACACAAAGTATAAAATCGATCCAGGCTGTATGGCACATTTGTTCTTTGTATATCTGGCGCTAAAAAAATATGAAAGCGCCTTTAAATTTTTAATGGCAATAAAACATAAATGTTGAAAATAATTTTATTAACATATCCTAGACTGTTGATATGAAATAGGGAACCAGTTGATGCCATCCTGAAGCTAATTAAAATAACCCGGTCTTGATACCTAAATTTTTCGGGAGTTATCGTGACCACACTAAAACATCAGGACGTTTTCGTAAAAAATTTTCAAACCGTTTTTTTTTTCAAAGCATAGTATAGTTCAATATAAAATGATTTAAAAAAGATATGAGACGGATTAATTAGAGGGTTTTCTTGATATACGACTACTCATATTATCGATAGAAGCATTTTAAGAACACAAAATTACTTGACCTTGTCGCGTCGAGAGTTAAGAACTACTTAGTAACGATTCACGTTATGAAGCGTACAAAAGGTTAAGCTGTTAGTTTACGCTGGTGTTCTGTGAAAGCGTGGTCCTTCTCTGTAAAATAAATATAAAAATAAATTATCGTATAATGCAACCTAATTTTAACCACAGCTCTTTAACTTCCACGATCTCGAATGAAGCAAAATCTGATTGTTTTTATCAAATAAACTGATTTTCTTTATCATGGGACTGAGATGTAGCTACTGGTCAAAAGTAACTTAAATTAATTAAAAACAAATACCTAAACGCTCAATATAATTTTTTTTACGCAATAAAAAACACGAATTTGTCCCGTTTTTTAAAGGGGTTGCAATTACGCAATTATAATTGATTTAACTAGATTTTTTTTTTTTTTTATAGGAGAGGGGGCAAACGAGCATGCGGCTCACCTGATGGTAAGTGACTACCGCCGCCCATGAACAACCGCAACACCAGGGGAATTGCAGATGCGTTGCCGGCCTTTTAAAAAGGAGTAGGCTCTTTTCTTGAAGGTCCCTAAGTCGTATCGGTCCGGAAAAATCCCTGGTGGTAAACTATTCCACAAGGAAGTTGTGCGAGGAAGAAAACATCTTCTAAATCGCACAGTGGTGGACCGCCAGTCATCCAGATGGTGTGGATGGTATCGGGAGTTCTGCCGCGATGTGCGTTCGTGAAATTTGGCGGCTGGGATTAATCCGAACAATTCCTCAGAGCACTCCCCATGGTAGATGCGAAAGAAAATGCAAAGAGATGCAACATCTCTTCGCAGTGCCAATGAATCGAGCCGATCGGAAAGGGCTCGGTCGTCGACGATTCGAGCCGCTCTGCGCTGGATGCGGTCAAGTGGAAGGAGCTGGCACTGGGGAGCCCCTGCCCAGAGATGGGAACAGTATTCCATGTGAGGCCGAACCTGCGCCTTGTAAAGTTGCAGGCGGTGTGCCGGCATGAAATACTGTCCCGCTCTGCTGATTGTAATACAACATAAAAGTAACATCAAAGTATATATTTAAATTTTACTTCATGTAAGAAGTAAAAACTGAAATTATATTAGTTATACTGAAGTAAAACTCATTACATTCCACTGGCTTTCATGGCACTATGTCCTTTTCTAACGATTTCAAAAAGGAGGAGGTATTCAATTCGACTGAATTTTCTTTATGTGTGTTACCGCCTAACTTCTTTCTAGGTAAACTGATTTCAATAATTCTTTTTTTTTATTAATACATTTAAATTTGATCACATATAGGTAAATTTGATCAAGATCTGACCAGTAGTCTTTGAGTCATAATTTATATTGAAGTCGGTAGTACAATTTTTTTAATTTTACCACTTGTTAACTCTATGAGTGTTTGGTAGCAGGAAAGAGTCCGCCACGTGCCACATGGCTTGATGACTTTACATGTCCTCGGAATATCTTTAATGTCTGAAACTTGAAAATTTACATACGATGAGTACGTTCGAGTACGTTGTACATCAGCAATTATAATTAAGATGTGGGTGTCTTCAAGGCAAGAGTGAATAGGCTTTTGCTAAGGCAGCGTGCTTGTACAGTGCTACTTGTACGTGCGTGTAAATTTCGGCTGAATCACCACTTACCATCAGTTGGGATAGTAGTCACTTGTGTGTGTGAATGGGTTATGATATTTAAAAAAGATAAAAAATTTCTTGCTTGAACTCTACTTGCTTGTTTAGCGTTTATACGTGGTAGAGCCATGCTACAGCTATATTGTGGTTGTAGTACGAATGAGTTGGCACGACCGAGGAAGGACCATACTATCACAGAAAGGAAGGGTAAAATAGCAGCTTAATTCGGCTGTAATTCATATGGTGAGTATAAAAAAGTGGATACCCTTTTTACTGAAAACGAGGAGTTCCAACTTAGACCTCTGGGGTGACAACACATCTGCATTTCTATTCTTAATCGAGTATAGATGTAGATGTCTATGAGCAACAATATCCACTTACATCAGGTGGACTGTGTGCTCGTTTATCACCCTTATTATATAACAAAATAATATTAATCCCAACCCCAGAGCTATCTCGGCTTGTGTGATGGCTTCGACAGTTATTTAACGTTTAATTATATTAACGTATGTCGTATATAAAAATAAATAATTAAATAGAAATTAGTATCGACCGTCCTCGTATACAAAATGTCGCGATAATGATTAAGCCCACATTGTTTGTTGACCTCGATCGCGTATCAATCTCTAATGAAAAGTTTGTGTTTTACACTAACAGACGAGGCAGTTGTGACCGGTCACACGGTTATTCCTCTTCCGAAGCTGCCCAGTTCGTTTGAAGGAGAGTTGTCTCCGGAGTACGAAGTCACGCCAGTACCCACCTACATGCCTCCGTCACCGATCGTACAGAAGCCAACTCCCGCGGCCGAGAGCTCACAGAGACAGAGCTCTCCTATGTCAACACTGGAACGTTACAGGACTAAGAACAGGCCTTCGAGGATTCTAACTAACATTGAATATAAGGACGAGGAGAAATTCGTTTTGGACAGAGCGCAACCGGAAACGTTTAATAAACAGGTGAGTAAGGGAATATTTACAACATAAGGACGATTGTAACGATTAAAAAAATGAGCAATGGTATTTTAATTATATAAATGAACAGATTTTTGAAGTGAAAACTTCTTTGAAATCGTTAAAATTTGAAACTGAATGAAAGGAAAAAGCGACCCTAAAAAGAGACAAACGTAATATACATCAATAAGATTTAGCTTGTGAGAGAATGAGATAGAATAATACAGTATTTATTTTTAATTCGTTTATATTTTTTAATTACATAAATCCTACAATTATCGTACTCCGGATACTCTGCATTCGTCTCATTCTCTCGAGGTTTAGTTTTCTGAAGGTTTCACTTAAACTGCGTGTGATTGTTTTATATTTTTATTTTTAAACAATTTGATCTTGCTAGTTCTTTTCAGGACAGAGATTTTTCTGAACCAGTAGTAAAAGCATAAATTACTATATTGTATACTATGACATATGTAATCTATATTGAATATATATTATTGTTATATTTATCTATTTTATTATATTCTTATATGAATGAATTAAATTAAGGTGATCTTATTCGTTTATGTTCTTGCGATTAAACTTGTAGGTTTCAAAATAATTAGCTATGGGCCGATGATGAACAAGAAAAAAAAGATAATTTCTTTACCTAATATCTAAATACAATTAGTGTTTATTCTATACACAGAAATCCTTTACTACTTCATCAAGCGGCGTAGTGTCTCCGACGACTGTAAGTTCCAGCAAGGAGTCGAGTCCTTCGTGTAAGAGCGAGGAAAGTCATTTCGGCAACAGTAGTGCTTGGCAAAGTCACGCTGCCGGGGAAGCTATGGCGACGAGGTAATTTTAAAGATATCAATTAGATATCAAGTAAAAAATTTACGCACAGTGAAGCATGCTTGTGCAGCAGGCTATGGTGCCTAATCATGTAAGCATTAAAAAGCTAGGATTAGCTGAATAAATAGTGCTTAATATTTTTTAATGATTGCTTTACTTTTTTGGAACTAAGTTCGAATTTGGCGGATGAGGGCTAGGCGAAAAAAAGTATAAGATTTTTCCGTCACGACCCATTTTGACGTAGTGTAGACGGCCTTGGCGGCTATGAGAAAGCGAGATGGAATAATATCCATCTCCTTCGTACTTTTTCTTATTTTGCCATGAAAGAAATATTATTTTATTTTAAATGACGCTTCAGTTTAAGAGACGCTAGTAATGCATTTATTTGTATTTGTTAATCAGTAATATAATACGTTTATTAATAATAATATACCCACTATGAAAGGAACTTCGTTCCAACCGAGTGTTCCACGACATTCACGCATGCTTTTTTTTTTATAAAACTTAAGTAGCAAAAGAACGCACAGTTCTCCTGATAGTAAGTAACTACTGCTGTTTATGGATACCTGGTACAAACTTCAAATAAAGGAGGCTACAGATGCATTTTCATCTCTGATAAGATGGAATGTCTCACTATCTGTTATTATACTGGCTTCCAATATTCTTCATACCTGAGCAGAGCAGTGCCAGTACTGCTTTTAGCAGTAGAATTAAGCATGACATTGGTACCTACCCCAGATTACTGGAAAGATAGGAGTTTCACTTAGAAATTATCTCAACTCTTAGAAGTTTAGCGAATGAGTTAAGAAATAAGATGATGACTGCCCGTAGCTCTTATAACTAGCGCTTTAAATCAGTCTGCGGCAACATTGCTGTAGCGTAATTCCGAGTCGGTGTCCTTTGATGTTTCGTCAGCTCCGAAAAGTCCACGCTGGACTAGTGTTTGCAATCGTAAGGAGGATTTGGCTTAACCGTCACGCTGACAGGCAGACGATCGTGGCAGCAGACGTTGTGCACATAAACGCTGTTTCCCGTCGCCGATCTGTGTATTTTACGACAGACTGACTGACGAAATATTTTAGTATATCCCATAGTCGCTTTTTACGACTCTCATGGTAGTCCCAATGGAGTGATGGATGGATCTCTTAAGCCGTCATCACACGGCATATCCCTTTCTGGTCATTTAACCATTGCAATGCAATGCTTTAGGTATTATATAATACGAGTATAATCCATAATATAGTATTAAATATTCAGACCATAATATGATTCTGTTGGTATATGTTTCGATAGTGTAATATTTTTAATGGTAATCCGATTAACTTGGCCATTTCAGGTATCATAACAACGAGATTTATATAAATTACATTAACTCGCCTTCGTGAAAAATCTCTATTAAATAAATAAATAACAATAGATAACAAAAAGTAAAAAAAAATCGTTATTACAAACAGGGGTATCATTTTTACAAACATCAGGTATCGAGCCGAGCTATCATAAAATTGACAGGATTTATTTAAAAAAAACATTCACATTGGTGTCGTAAAAGGCGACAGAGGGAAACAAATCTTGAGATACGTAGCAGTGTCTTCGTAGTAAGGACTAAAAATAAAAATAAACTGCGGTTGCCAACCTGCTTGCCAACCGTGGTAACTATGGCAAATATCGCCCCTATGAAGCAATCTATGGGGAGACCTATGTTCAGCAGTGGATTTTATTAGGCTGTAACAGTGACGGTAAAACTTGTTTAATCTAATCTACTCTAAACGTAGATATTTTCCACCCGTCTACGATATAATAATACTGAATATTATCTATTCATTTTTGTGAGCAGTTATGCTTGGACTTGTAATGGGTAGTAATGATGATGTGATGATGATGATAATGATTTGTGATATTCGTATTCCCAGATCCCAAGATGATGTCTCACTGGTGCTAAGTGTATCGAGCTGCGAAGATGAAAAGTCCAAATTGGAAGCGAAAGAGAACAAGAAAACTTTGGAGCAAGAAGTGCCGACGAAGACCATTGTGATTGCCGACGAGCCTCCCCACCCGTTGCTAATGAAGTCTGTTACTCTAAGCCAGCACGATTCACTGCGTGGCACTATGATGGGTTTGTACATTATTTATTTTTAAGTTTTATAACAATTTATGACTTTGTTGTGATGGGGTGACCGTGTCGTGGTGGTGTAATTCAGTGTTCCATATCGTTCCGTGGGTATCGTAAGAGGCGACAGAGGAAAGCAGGCAGGGAAATGAGAAGCGGCGTCTTCCTGGTAACGAGTAAGAAATTAAAAACTATGGTTGCCAACCCGCCTGCCAAGCATGGCAATTATGGCAGGAGCCCCCTATGGTCCATTATGTATGAGGATAGGCTGTAGCGGTAAGGTGCATTGCATATTATTTTTATTTGCTCAACATATATGAAATTTCACTAAAACCATCTACTACCTATCAGGTGTGTTTATTTTTTTAATAAGACTAATGACAAACGACCACACAGTACAGTGATGGTAAGTAGTTGCTGTGAACTATAAATATCTATTTATTATTAGATTAAAGAAAAAAAATTAAAAAAATGCAGAGGCGACGTCCCCCTGAAAACTATGATAGAAATGTCGTCGGTTTTCACCACTTACCATACGAAACACGGCAGTATTTACACTGGTATTCCGTAAGAGCATGATTATTCTTCGATCGAGCTGACTCGTTCGTGCTGTATGCACAATACAGGTGCAGACAGAACTGCTTAATAGTTTTTATCTAAATATACATATAACACCTTTATAATGAGTACAATATATAAATGTACTCATTTAAATGTGCTCAGTTAAATGAGTTAAATGAGATTAAATATCATAAATAAAATCTCATGGATTCCGTCGTATGGAAGTATAATCATTTCGTTCACGCCCGGACGTAAATTATCCAGACCTGTGATGGCGAGCAGCTTCAAAGATTTCATGGATCTGGTACTGTGATTATATATCATCTTCATAGCTGGAGAAGCCCATGTCCCGTGGGACATTTGCGAACTGAAAAAACGAACATGAAGAATTCATAAACTCTTATTGAAGTCAATAATTTGTATGTTTTTTGTTTTGAAGAGATACTTGATAACAAGTTATTTAAAAAAGTTGTTATTTTGATATTTTTTTTCTTAGTGTTTTAGATATCAACGATGCTTTGTTTATTTTTATAGGTTCAATGACGAGCTCCAACTACAGTACAACAAGCACATGCACAAATCAAAGCAATGAGCATCACAACTTAACGCTTACTCTAGAGGAATCCAAATTCGATATGTCTGCTTTAGAGACTTCCACTCAGAGCCTTCTTGATGACGAAACATCTCCAGCCGACAGTCTTATATCTTCCACCAGTACCAGTGATAGCAACAATGATCTGCACGTTGACAAAGATGCTCCGTCCATATCTAGCGCATATCAAACTGCGAATACAAAGACCAAATCGCCGGATCCAATTATGGAAGAAGTGGACGGCGTTGATGAAGAAGAGCTGCAACCGGTTAGGGAACTCATGTAAGTAAATATTAAATTTTATACATAGTTGTTTTTATTCTAATTTAAACTAAATAAGAATGAAGTCTGAGTATTTTTAACCAACAGAAAACACTATTTTTTAGTGTTTTAATTTTTTTATTTTCACATAAAAATTGAATTGCGTCAAATCCTAACATACAAGGTTCCAATTTTTAACCATAAATAAATAAATTAGTAAAATTTTGGTGGGAACTTGACCTCCAGCGGATTGTTACTCCTGTTTTATGATTTTAATAATGCTTCAAGTGGATTTTGATGAGTAAAAGTGATGCGATTTTTTCATCTAGTATCTGTGCATATGAACTATTAGTGGCAACGACGATACAAGTGCTCCAATGTTGCTATAAACCTTGAATTATTTTGTCCGCTTATGCGCCCGAAGAACTTGAGATACTGTCGTCATCGACTGTCCGCTGGGTAAGCACTTTGCAATGTGACGCATAAGCATGTTGTGAAGTTCTATAAACAAAATATTTTATTGAATTTTTCTTATAACTTGACACTGGCAAAAGTGTAACCATGTGAGTCCATGACCAAAGAAAAAACGATTAGTATTATCAGGAGAAACATTTAATTATGCAATGTTATCTTTGTCAATTTCTTCCAGGACTTTACTAGTGGAGTCAAATATATTATTGTTATTCTTATTGCTATCAGTCTGTAAATATTACACAGCTGGATATTATAGTATAAGTCTGCCAAGTGTAGTCGACAATTTGCTGTTATTGATTCGCTTCGCTGTCTAACTGACAACAGCAGTACAAAATGTTTTATACATTTGACGTTGTTCCTTGTCATCTGTATAGGTAGTTAAAATGTCCGCCATATGGATTATAGCCGATTTGAAATCGGCCAGAGGCTGATGTCCAGTAGTGACTTGTTTACGGACTAACATGATTTACATATTTATTTCATCAACATCATCATTACAGCCCCTCACAAGTCCACTGCTGAACATAGGTCTCCCCCAAGGAATGCCATAGAGCACGGTCCTAAGGCACCTGCATGTGACTTCTTGCATGTCTTAACACGTCGTCACTCCATCTAGTGGGGGTCGCCCTACGCTTCGCCTACCTGTACGAAGCTGCCACTCGAGAACATTTTTCCCCATCTGTTGTCGGTTCTTCGAGCTATACATATATATTTATATACTAAATTAAATTTATATAAGACACTACACACAACTCTTACTGATGGCAGTGTTCTATTTCTGTCTAGGAATCTGTCTTAATTGGTACAACCCTCTTTTTTATTTCTGCAGGATAACAATAGTGCACTAACTGCTGTGTTCTGGTGTGGTGTGGTTATGGCATAATGCGCTAGTAAAACTAAACTCTTGACAACCGTAGCTTGTTTTGTTTGATTGCAGAAATCATAGCCTGCTGTAGCTACTAACCATCAATTGAACTGTTAGTTCGATTTTCATTGTAATATTATAAAAAAGGAATAGGTAGGTATTGAAGAGCCGTGGTAACTCAAGCGCTAAGCGCTCACTCTTAATTTTACAGTATCCGAACACTAGATTAGTTTGGGATTAGTAAGTGAGGGTAATATGGTCACTTTCTTATAACTCAAAAACTATAGCCTTATTTGCAAAGATGGCTCTGTGATACGATAGCTCTTCACCAGTCATTCAAATAATAAAGGGTCAAAAGGGCGCCGCTTTATCGACGCCATTTTGACAGGTGACATTAAAGTAAATATTTTAGTCGATTTTAGAATTGTGTAGTTAGTTTTTTTTTGGAGTTGATTTTTTGAAACGTTCCTAATTATTGCCAAACCTTATATGTAATTTTTTTATTAATATATTAGTTACAATAAACGATTTTGTGTCTTTATCTCTCTGTCTGTCTGTTTTTATAGAGCGGTATAGCCTAAGTGACATATTACCCTCACATACCTTATTATTTGCAAGTTTAGTGCTGATAATTGTATGCTGGCTGTAGGAAAACACCGTGAGGAAAACTTTATTTTAATCCTCACAGAAATAAGAAGAGGCCTGTGAGCAGGACGTATATTATACAGACTGCAACTACTTTTTTACTTAAATAATAATTTTAGTAGTTGCCGTCATGGTCGATATCGGCCGGGAGCACATCATTAAAGGTCATATTTTGTAAATGGTCAATATATCGGCAGCGAGGCGGTCAGTGACGTGAGCGGCGGCAACAGCGGTGGCGACAGCGGTGGCGACAGCGGCGGCGGCAGCAAGAACGCGACGCCGCCGTCCCCGGGCACGCCCACGCACGCGTCCGGCTCGCTATCGCTCTCCGACGGACGCGACTTCTTTGACGACGAGATCGCTGACCAACCTGCGCTACTTTTTAGAAGTGAGTTCGCTTAACTACTAAAAATATAAACATCATCATCATTACAACTGTTTAACAAAGGTCTCCCACAATGAATGCTACAAAACACTGTCTTGAGCCACATGCATCCTACGACTTTCCTCATGTCTTAACCGAAACCGAACTGAAAAACAATTTTTCAATAGAACCCGTTTTCACTCCTCACCTCTTGATGTCGCATTAATTGACTCTGATTAATTGTCATTAAAAGTCTTGTTTCTTATGGTTTTTGAAAAATTACCGGACTGCGAATTCAAGGTACGAAATATTTAGTATTGTGATCGCCAATCTGGGTACGAAGCGTGAAGCTTACGACAAAGATAATTGCTTCTACCAAGAGAGGCCTATATACCATAGTGATTCGTTTTAGGCTGATAAGAAAGAGCAAGGTGGAAGGTAACCATAAAAAAATTTCATAGATCTAAAACGTTTTATACACGGTCCATCTTGACGTACGTCAAGCCTACTCATTGTCGTTTTCCGTCGTGCGTTATGTCTGACCTTGGCGGGACGTACATAGGCTGCATTAAAAGTATCGGGAATGAAATATTTCCACTGTTCCTGTCATATTAAAAATCTTTTTAATTAAAAAGTCCTTGGTTTTAAAAATCGAATACCATTTATTTATTTAAAAAAAGGTTGGTGGTGTCAAAAAAAGGTGTCAAATTTGTTTAGTCGTTGAGAAAATGGAATTGACCCGAGAAAATTCAAGAGCGATGATTTATTATGACTTTCGAAGTGGTTTAACACAAAAACAGTGTGTTGAACGGATTATTTCTGCATTTGGTGATGAAGCCCCATCCAAAACCACAATTTATCGCTGGTTTGCTGAATTTTAACGTGGACGTGTCAAGCTCAGTGATGATCCCCGTCAAGGTCGTCCAAAAACTGTAGTCACCCAAGAAAACGTCGATGCTATGCATAAGCTGATTGAGGAAGATCGACATGTGACATACCGCGAAATTCAGGCAACTTTAGACATTGGCATGAGTCAAATACAAATAATCTTGCATGAACAATTAGGTGTAAAAAAGTTGTTTTCCCGATGGATACCGCATTCGCTCTGTATAGAGCAAAAAGCGGCTCGCGTTACTTGGTGCGTCAGAACTCTCGAAAGATTGCACGCAGGATCCTCAAATGATGTATACAACATCGTATCAGGTGACGAATCCTGGATATATTCGTACGAACCCGAAACAAAAAACCAATCACGAGTTTGGGTGTTCGAAAATGAGTTAAAGCCAACTAAAATTGTTCGTTCACGGAGTGTTGCAAAAAAATGGTGGCCACGTTTGTCTCCAAAACCAGCCATGTTACGACTATTCCTCTTGAGGGACAAAGAACGGTTAATGCAGAATGGTATGCTAGCATTTGTTTGCCACAGGTAGTTTCTGAACTCCGTAAAGAGAACTGCAACCGCCGCATCATCCTCCACCACGACAATGCGAGTTCTCACACCGCACACAGAACAAAAGAGTTTTTAGAGCAAGAAAACATAGAATTATTAGACCATCCGTCGTACAGCCCCGACCTAAGCCCTAATGATTGCTATACTTTCCCTAAAATAAAGAATAAATTGCGTGGACAGAGATTTTCATCACCTGAAGAAGCTGTGGACGCCTACAAAACGGCCATTTTGGAGACCCCAACTTCCGAATGGAATGGTTGCTTCAATGATTGGTTCCATCGTATGAAAAAGTGTGTCAAATTTCGCGGAGAATACTTCGAAAAGCAATAAATACATTTTTAAATAGTAATGTTGTGTCACTTTCTTGATTCCCGAAATTTTCAGTGCCGCCTCGTACGTTAAGATGGATCGTGTTTAAGACGTTTTAGTTGCTAATATGTGACGAAAATTTAAAATATTTTATATTCAATTCTAAAACTCCTTTTTGTTTCAACACACAAAAATGCATAAAACGAAACTAAAAATGCTATAAAATATGTGAAACTTTGACTCTACTTAAACATTTTAATAAATACAATTATAAAAAAAGTAGAATGCACAACTCGGTACTGAAATATCGATTTTTAAATGCTAGGCTAGGTTGACGTTCTTAAAAAAAAAACATTTTGGCGCATTGACGTAATACTGCGTGTTTTGGCGGGAAATATTATAATTAATAATCTAGATATGTAAAGCATTGTTAAAATTGATATATGTTTTAATTTATAAATTGAAATTTATCGTAAAAAAAAAACAATAAGTATTGTGTATGCTTAATTAGTTATTTAATATATGTATATATGGTTAGTTTTTTAAATATTTATATGTTATTATATGTTTTTAATGGTAATCACACATGTTTGTATTGTAGAAAATACTGATGGAAGCCCTTCAATAAAAAGAGCGGATACAGACGCCAGTAAACAATTAAGGAGGTCAAAAGAACGTATTAATTCAAGCCCGCTTGCGCATAGGAGTCGTAAACGTAAGTGCACTTAGTTTAATGCATTACATAAAGTAAACTTATTTAGTCTGTAACATTTTTACGAACAATAACCCACGAACCCTTAACGTAGTAGAGTCAATCTGCAGCGTATCATGGCTTCAACACGAATGAATCAGCTTTACCTGGGAAAGAACACGTTCGGCATCAAATACCAGCGTGAAATAGTATAGCACAATGCTGAGTTATGTATGGTTAGTGACGAGAATCGAAGACCCTTTTTTGAGATAACGAGGCATTTCATCTTAGTTCTTAGAGGGCGACAACACAACATTTTAATTCTAATCAAGTAAGGGTCTATAGGTTGTAGCGGTCATTTACCATCAGATGGGCTGCGTAAAAGTTTGTCACCCTAACTGCTATGATAAAAATATAAGATATATTATTACAAACAAGACTACTTGACTAATTTGATAACAAAAATATCTACATGTATAGTGCCAGAAATGTACACATAAACTTTAATTCTTCGCCCTAACAAACTCTTATCCGATATAACAACGTTAAAACGATAAAATCGAAGGTAAATTTGATACAGAATAATAAACACGTGGACTGTCACAACAAACAAGCAATACCTCAATGCCAAGGGTCTGCTTCTAGGATAAGGATGTCCAGTCTCAGACGAACAAAGACAGATAGACAGAACATAACACTACGTACAAGTGATGCAGACCTTAAACCATGTTGTTGATCGCAAATGATTTTTTTCGCATACGCTGTCGAGAATACATGTTCTGACTTTAGGTTGACATGGCTTACGGTTTGATTTCGTCTTTACTTGAAATGTACGTAGCATTCTGTCTATCTTTGTTGGTCTAAGCTGAATGGGAAAAAAATAGTGGTCCAAATAGCGTACAAGTCCCTTGTTGTCTCCTATTATCTCATGTATGACTAATTTTCAGCACCAGTAATTAATTCACATCCCATTCCGACGGAAAACCCGTCTGAATACGATGTGAATTAAGTAAATTATGTTGTGTAGTGTGCAGTGCGTGAATAAGCTTCTAGCAGGTTTTATCTCTCTCAAGTAAAATTATATATGTATAATTTTACTTGAGATGGAATAGTTCAAAGTAATAGTTTCCATATTGACAACAAAAAAAAAATTATGAGACTTTATTATAAATATTTATTTCACGGCACGGTTCTTTGAACGATGTCATCCAGTGGGTTTTTGTCTATATAAATATTACCTCGGTTTTAGAGGCTTGTGGAATATTTAGAGACGATGGCAAGAGACCCAACGGTATGTATATTATATATATTAGACCCTTGGGAGAGAGGTAAAGCCCTAGTGTGGGATGCTACTTGTTTAGACACTTTGGCGGCCTCTCATCTCAGGTGTACCTCGTGTAGAGCCGGGACGGCATCAGAAGCAGAACTGAGTAAGTGGCGCAAATATGAGTTTCTAAGAGATGACTACATATTTGTGCCATTTGCTGTAGAGATTATCGGCCCGTAAAGTCCATGTACGGTGAAGTTCCTAAAGGAACTCTATCTACGACTGGTAATAAGAGGGCTGGTTATTTTCTCGCTCAAAGGCTAAGTATAACCATTCAGCGGGGAAACGCTGCCAGTGTTCTTGGCACGATACCGCAGGGAGGAGGACTGTATGATAATTAAGTTACTAGTTTTAGTTTTTTTTTTATTATAGTTTTTAATATTGTATATATTACTATTATAAATACACATATATACTATATATTGACGTGGTAGAGCCATGCTGCAGATATATTAGTAGTATAGTTGTAGCACGAATGGGTCGGCTCGACCGGGGAAGGACCACGCTCTCACAGAAAACCAGCGTAAAATAGCAGCTTAAAGTTTCGTATGGTGAATGTAGAGAACCGAAGACCCTTTTTACTGGCAAAGAGGCATTCCATCTTAGTCCTCACGGGTGACAACGCATCTACATCTTGAGTCTTTATTGAGGATAGATGTAGATGTCTATGGGTCACAGTAACCACGTGTGGACAGTAACGATGAGGTGGACTGTGTGCTCGTTTGTCACCCTATACTATAAAACAAAAAAAAATACTAGGCACTATACCGCAGACAGTAGGGCTGTAAAATAATTTTAGTATTTTTTTAAATTTATGTTACGTATTAAAGACTAATAATTCTTTCGCTTTTGTGACGAGAATATTTGTGTGAATAGCATTTATTGCCGTTATTTTCCTGAGCATCAGAATATGCGTGGAGCCCCTGTGCGTTAAGCGAAACCGTATGTTAAATATATTTTTGATCAGAAGTTATTGTCCAAGCATAAACATAGTACCTACTCGTACGATAAATGTTTCAAAACTGATAGTGTAGTACTGTATAGCCCAATTGGTGTTTGGGGTCTAATATACTAAGTCGTAATAGGTTTCCAAAGACGACAACGGCGCTACACTTTTTCAGTGCATGATTGTAACAGATTTTTCTGATCGACGCTTTTGTTTCGGGGAGATAATATGTGAGGACAATTTTGAAAATCGTTCTCTTTAATTAACAATTTATAAACAAAAGATATATTACATACCGTTGAATATCTTTATGCAATAAGCTTTTTCATTTGAAAAAAAAGAAACATTGTGTATGGAGACAATGTATTTTTCTTGATTGATTTGATTTCACCATTTCAAATTTCTTAATTTCACGAAACAGTTATCATTGATTTAATGCTTTATAATCAAGTGAAATAAAAGTATCGTATATTAATACGTATAGTCGGCGGCAGCCGTAATCCGGCCGCAGAACGCACGCCGTCACTAGACACACTCTCAAGCTTGGCTTCGGACGACCTCATGATGGAAAATGATCTTGCCAACTCAGTCACCAGTTTGCAGAGCGTGGACGACTATATTGAAAGGTAAAGACTGTTATTAACAATATTGTTTAATAATAAAGACTTCCTATAGATGGAGGTATAACTATTCTCTTTGCGCTAGACGTTAAATACCTACCTGTGACGTTAAACTGGCGGTATGCTGCAGCACCAAAGGTGTGATACGACTGGTACTACGATCTTCCCTGCAACGGGAGAAAACTATTCATTCATACTTTAATTCTTTTTTTAAAAAAAAATCGTTACCCCCACACTAGGATTTTGTCCTGTATTGTGGAGGCAGTTTACAAACATAAATTGGACGATGACAAACATCCAGACATGGAACACTTATTTGTAGGCCATAGGTACAAATACTTGTTCCGTGCGGGATTCGAAGCCTCTGCCTCCAGCGTAACAACTTATTGCTAAGCGACTGCGCCACGGAGCTGTTTACATGGACTATGTTTAAAAGTTGATTTTTACAGGCTGACGATGACGATGATGATGATGATTTAAAAATATTAAATAGAATTTACAATAAAACTTCTTTGCTGGTGCATATAGCGATATCATATTTTTACTTTTTATAAAGGATTTAAAAATAAATCGCTAACATCCGCGTGAAAATTAAAGTTTTGTGTCTTATCTAGTTTGAAGACACCTCCCTCCTTCCCACAATTGCCACTACTAATCCCAAAACCAGTACACCTAGGCTAATAGATATTGCGCTGGCTAGCTCTTAAGTAAGATCTTAGAGTTATCGCAGAGAATTTATTTCTAAACATGTTTCTTATTATTAACGGTTGTGCATTTTTTCCGGTGCAGTGGTGTTGGAGATAGAGCATGGTGACTTAGGTGATTGTAGTAAAAGCTAAAAAGACTTAATTGTCCTCGATATATGGCAGTATTACTATCTCAAGTATACTATATGTAAAATATCTAGACCAGCCATGGCAGCGCTAAAGGTGCGGGCCATTAATTGCAATCGCCAATCCAAATTTAAATTTCTTGGCATAAAACCCGGTATCTGATTTTGATCCGACCCAGTATTTCAAACCTGAGATTACCGGGTAACACGTGATTAGTAGTTGCGCTTAGGCTTGGGCAAATATCGATACATCGATATTTTCTCATAAAATATTGAGATATATCGTAGATATTTTCCATCGCGATATATCGATATTTATTTTAAAGTATGGAATTCGTGTCAATTTCGATATATTTTAAAATTTTGGGCCTAATCCTGGTCCATCATGCAAATGATGACGATATGTCGATATTTATCACGCGATGTATATCGATACTTCTTCATCTCTACTTCCCTAGTCGCGCTTAAGACTACTAGATGGAGGAGACAATCAACCTCATATAACACACATGGGGCAATTTGGCATGGCAAGGGAGGAGTGATTGATAGTGATCGTATTGCTCTGATTTTTACTCCAGTTAAGCTAATAACTTAGAATAGGTTTAAATTGGGCGCTTAAAGCATCATCAATTAGGGAAAATGAATTAAAAGTAAGTAAGTACAGAATATGGTGGAACTAAATATGATATTATGGCACAGGGTGGGAGAAGTTTATATTATAGGATGGTATCCTCACTCGAAAGAAATTGAAATAGACAATGTTGGCTTCGGAAACCGGCATTGCGTATTCTTATACCATACATCCACTGTATGTATGTTAAGATATGTACGTTCCTACTTGTACTGTATAAATAGTTTTATGTTTTTAATATCTCTTTAGGTTAGACAGCTCGTTACGAAGCGGACTCAATTCACTGGATGAAAGACAGCTACGTCAAGAGCTCGCATCTTCTAAAGCAACAGTGCGCCAATGGAGCCAACTGTTAGAAAAGAATAACATACTGGATAGGCAGCTGGCAGCCATGGCACAGGGGAATAACGGAACCGACTCGCTAACCGCGAGCAACACCAGTCTTACCAGCGTCGGGTGAGTAGTTTTTTGTCGATATTTAAGTTGTAAGGTTTGCTTACTTTGTACGTTAATGCTAGTCTACAGTTTTAAACTACAAAGATTATAGAAAGGTTTCTATAGTTTTCCCGTGCCTGTTATTCAATCTGTTTGTAAACAGTAGAAGAATGTGAGTAAGTACGGGTTAGTTAGCCGTCAAATGCCCCTGATCACGTCATATTTGCATCGATGACAGGCAAGTTGCAAATGATGGTTACTTTAATGAACATAACCATTAAAAGAATGTGGAATGAAAAACAAAACTGATGGTTTTTGAAAGAGAAGATAATAAAAATACATGTGAAATAAGAATAGAAGGGAAGTTGGTTGATCAAGTGGATGAGTTTGTAAGATGTGTATTTAGAAGGGGTGGAAGATAACACACCGATATAAAACGAAGAGTGAATGCAGGTCACAAAGTGAATGGGACTAAGTTGGAATGTAGGAATTAAGAATGTGTAAAAAAATGCGCGTTTGACAATTGACATTGCTCTACAACCTTAATTTTTGGTAGAGAAATTTAGAAGTGGCAGAAAAAGCATGAGAGTACAATTAGTGCTATCGAAATACGGTCATAAAGAAGTATGATAGGTGACTCTGAATGATAAGGTGATAAATTTCGTGGTAAGAAAAAAGGTTTGAAAGAAGATGTTGTTCTTCTTTCAAACAATTTTTTCTCTTTCTCTTAGAATTGGGTCTAGGGGATGGTTGACCCCATAAATCGGACTGCCTTCTTGTAAACGTTTTAAAATAGTTCTCTGACTAACATACATAAAAATGGAGTTTCAGAAATTGAGTAACTTTTTGGGAATTTTTCTGCAAAACGATACTGCCGACGGAAAGTGTCTGGGAGTATTGATGACTGATTTTTAACGATATTATCTAACATTAACGTAAAAATCAGGTGGAAGAATTAACACTGTAATTATAACACTATGATAATTAGTTAATGAAAGATATCAGCAGTTTTGTTCTTTATTTTTAATTTAATAAAATTGTACTTAACATGATATTTCTATAAAAATATGTAAGCGGTTTTTTATTTAGCAACTCTACACTTTTACAATGGTCCTATATAAAAAACAAACCGATCCTGTTTATTACATCCCTTTCCAAGTGCACAGCTGATCATAGGGATCCCCCAAGGAATGCCACAAAAGCACGGTCTGAGCAATCTGAATCCATTGACTTTTGCATCTCTTACCAGGTCGTCATTTCATCTAGTGGTGGGGACCGCTCTACACTAAATATATTGATACATTTAAATATATATATATATATATATATATATATATATATATATATATATATATATATATATATATATATATATATATATATAAACAATATAGAGCGTGAGATGTCCACAAAAGAGCTGTCAACTTAAGAGTGTTTGCTATTATATGTACAAGCATCCTTTCTCCTCGTATACTTTTTTATTTTTTTATTGTTTGTGGCCTTCACAGAACACAATTACTCTCTACCAAGAGGTGGCCTCCAATTTGTAACATAATAAAATAAAAATATATTATATGAGAATCAATTAGACACATTATTGTTCTATAAACTGTATTTATTTGAAATTGTATAAATTAGTTTTTAAAGAGTAATTCTGACATAATAAACCTGAGCCGCAAAGTTATCTTTCATAATTTTTATGACGTTTTGATGTAATTTTATTTGTGATCATTGTACTCGCATTGTTGTAAATGATACAAGCTAATGATGCGTTCAAAATAAAAACTAATTTGCTTAGCTTTACGTCATAACTCATCCACTTTTCACTTATTGCGTGTAATTATACAAATTTTACGTACTGTACAGTTAATGCGCTTTCTAGCAGTTATGTTTTTATGTATTCCTTTTAGTGGATCTTTTTTATATTTTTTAATTAAAAATATATAACAAATATTTAAATTTTAATCTAAAACACTAAATTTATAATTGAGCTATAAAACACGACTTGCAATTGTTAATTGTAAACTTGGAGATTTCATTTCATTTCCTAAACCTACGTTCCGTTTTAAAAATTCGTTCCTTTTCACGGAAAAAATAAATCTATTTTACACAATTTCATTATAAAAACATCATCATCATTGTAGGTAGGTCGACTGTTGAACGTTAGCTTTCCTTAATAACTGTCACAAATTGCGTCACTGCAATAGGTTGCCACTCCATTTAGTGCAAGGTTGCCTTAAACGCCTCCTGCTAGTGCTCATTTTTCATGCAAGTAAGGGTGACAAACGAGTAGAGAGTGATGGTAAGAGGATGCTGACCATAGACATTTACATAATCTATCCCCGATTACAAATCAAAATGCGGATGCGTTATCACTAATGAGAACTGAAATGGTATACTTTGTTACCAGGTAAAAGGATCTCCATTCTCGACACTAATGATAAGAAACACAGTAGAATTGTCTTCTTATTTCATTGTATTCTGCACGAACATAGTCCTTTCTCAATTGCGCCGACTCACAAACATAGATCTAAATAATATAATAGATACATCTATGTCAGTAAGTCTAAGTGGTGGGACTTCTTTTCTGCCGTCTGGGTAATTGCCACCCTCTTACTGATTTCTGTCACCAAATAGCAGTGCTTGCATGTTGTATTACGGTCTAAAGCGTATAGTGAGCTAGTAGAAATATAATTACAAATCGTGGAGCATTCAATCTTAGTCCTCAAAGGTACATCCGTCGTTTTTTTTATTTGAAGTTTTTTTTTTTTAGAATAAGAGTGACAAACGAGCACACAGTCCGCCTGATGATAAGTGAGCGCTGTGGCCCATAGACATCTACGTCTATCCTCGATAAAAAATCAAAATACAGATGCACTGTCACCTTTGAGTGCTAAGATGGTTTGTCTTGTTTCCAGTAAAAAGTTCTTCGGTTCTTTACACTCGCCATACGAAACACAGCAGCATTTAGCTGCTATTTTTCGCTGGTATTCTGTGAGATCGTGGTCCCTCCCTGATCGAGCCGACCTATTTGTGCTTTATCTGTAATATACCTGCGGCGTGACTTTTTCAAGCTTCGGCAACTAAAGGCATGCATCCTCACAATAAAATAGGCTTGTGAGCACAGACCCGAGACCTTCGCGCTTGTATTTTCAAATAGATATTCTGTTGGATTCAGAGTAAACGTTAAAACATTCTCCTTACACTGCTATATAAAGATACAATTTAGACCTTTTTTATAGAATAAGGGTGACAAACGAGCACACAGTCCACCTGATGGTGAGTGGTTGCTGTGGCCCATAGACATCTACATCTATCTTCGTTTGCGAATTAAAATGCAGATGCGTTGTCAGCCGGAGTGCTAAGATAGAATGCCTCTTTTCAAGTAAAAAAGGGTCTCCGGTTCTCTACACTCACCATACGAAACACAGCAGCACTTAGCTGCTATTTTACGCTGGTATTCTGTGAGAGCGTGGTCCTTCCCCGGTCGAGCCGACCCATTCGTGCTACAACTATACTATTAATATAGCTGCAGCATGTCTCTACCACATACAAAACCTACTTTTGAATCTATGTCATCATTACCACCAGTACTATTGACTGACATTTGCTGTAAAATAAGTTTGGTAAAAAGGTCCATAATAGTTAAAGCTACGTCACCAATGTTCAGTATTTTATTACCATACATATACTATAGTATTATATTTAATACAGCAATAGGTAAAAACTAACTTATATAATTATATAATTACCCTAATCATAAAAGTTTTAGATTTAGTTTATAGAGTAAATAGAATTACTCACTAAAATTACATACATGTCACCGCCGCAAGAGTTTGGGAGCAAGAGAGTTAGAGTTGGTCATGGATGCGGAAGCGTTAGCTCCTGGGTCGCCAGTTATTATCTATGGGCATAAACTAAAAACTGGCCATGTGCGAGTCGGGCCACGCACAAAGTAGGGGTAGGGTTCCGTAGTTGCCAGTCACAATACGTAGGCTTTCTTGATAATGAGCATAATGAGTGAGTTCGCGGTTTAATAGCTATAATGATGAAACTAGGCCCAAATAGGAAGATCGTAACTGTAGGACTTATTTGCAAATCAGACTAATAGGGCGTGGTATTTATAAAAGATTAAAAAAACGATAAGATATATTTTGAAATAATACAATTTACATCAAATCATTCACATACCAAGGTACAAAGATGATCATAGTTGACTATCTATCTATATATTCCCGGTAGTGCAGCTCTAAGATATAAGTATATGAGTATATACATAGCTGTATATACATGCTGACCGTAACGACCGTAACGTAAACCACTTCTGCCTAAAATTATACAGAGGTCACCGGCGTAAACCAAGAATATGACGAATGAAACTGTATGTTATATGATTGTATGAATACTTTCAATTTCGTAAACGGACCCCTGTATCAAAAAACTATTGTTACATACCCCCAGTGTTTTTGAAAGACCTAACCAACGATACCCCATAATTATGATAGAATAGACGGGGAAAAATCAACCTCCATTTACTTGCATGGGAAGTAACTAAACTAAAAATGTTTTCTTTTTTTGAAGATTTTATATCACAGTTTTGTAGGAGTGATCTATGAACTGTGCCAAAATACAGATTTGTAGCACCTAGGGTCTCTGAGCAAAACCGCGGACAGACGGACGGACGTACCGACATGACGAAACTGTAAGGGTTTCTTGTTGTGTAAGTACGGAACCTTAAAAACGCCACATAAGCATACAAATGTATTGTGCTTCGTCTCGTATTGGTAGAATATTGATATTAAATTACGATAATAAGTAAAGAAAGAAGTAGATTAAGTTACTAGTTTTAGTTTTTTATTATAGTTTTTAATATTGTATATAATAAAATATTGTATATTATGTTATGAAAAAAAAAATGAGTAAAGATTTTCATTCTGATATCTTAGGATTATTCTTTGGATCAAAGTGGTTTAATGAACTGAAGAGTAATATTCAAATGTCTGCAAAGGACATAAACTATA